TTCTAAAAAATCTTTATCGTTGAAAGTATTACATAGGTCCTCCTTGTCCCCCATTAACCTCTTGCAGCCCATTCTCGCCCCGGCCCCACCCCCGGGCTCTCACTGCCCCATTGTCTGTGTGTCTGTGTCCACGGGTTATGCATCTATGCGTACAAGTTCATCGCCAATTTACTTTTATTTCCAGTCGGACCCTGGGGGGAGGTGCCAGCGGGGTCTGCCTGTTTGGCTGCCATCTTCTCCCTCACTCTGGTATTGTTTCACGTAGTCGTTACAGCCCCCCTGTCGGGGAAATGTCCCCGGGGTTTTATAGAGGAGGAACTGAGGGTGAGGGACTTCCAGCCACTTGCTTGAGGTCACCGCTGTGAGGGTGCGCTCAGCATCCAGTGTTCCCAGACTGCGCTGTGTCCGAGGCTGTCATGGACGGAGGGTTGTGGTGATGAGGGACCAAGGGGAAGGCTCTTCCTAGGAGCCCAAGAAAGGCCTGTCCTTAGCTCAGAGAGAGAGCTGAGGAGACCTCCGGTCAGCATGAGGGGCAGCCAGCGAGTAGGGTGAAGCTGTAGTGGGGAGAAGCCCCCGAAGACAGATGGTGCGGAGACCGGAGGCCAGGACACCTTTGCTCTCCGTAGGCCCCGGGCCCTCAGTGAACACCCCGCCTCCGGGAACGGGGAGAGGCGCCACAGAATGCAAACCGAGCTAGAAGGAAATAGAGTGTTGCATTGAAAAATATATATATTTTATTGATGTCAGAGAGAAGGGAGAGGGAGAGAGAGAGAGAAACAACAATGATGAGAAGGAATCATGGATTGGCTGCCTCCTGCACGCCCCACACTGGGGATCGAGCCTGCAACCCGGGCATATGCCCTGACCGGGAATTGAACTGTGACCTCCTGGTTCAAAGGTCGGTGCTCAACTACTGAGCCACCCAGCCGGGCGAGTGTTGCATTTTTAAAAAGTATGTCTGAGTTTCTGTATGGAGATTCATATCTTGCACATACAGACACAAAACAATGACAGAAACTTCCACAGGTGTTAGCAGGGACTTTCCCTGGGTGAGAAGACTCTGGGATATTTTCCAGTGTCCTTCTCTATATTTTCCTGGGTTTGTACATGCTTCTCAATGAGCATTTCATCAACATGAACCAACTAAGGAGGGCTGTTCTTTTTCTCCCCATCACCACTTATCTCCCTACCCCTCTTCTACCTCCACTCCCCCCCGCAATTACCACTCTGTTATCAGTGTCAGTGAGTTGTTTTCTCTTTTTTCTTTTATCTCAATCCCTCCATCGCACACCCCCCAATCACCCAGTCCTCCTCCAACAGCTGTCTGCCTGCTCTCTGAGTCTGTCTCTATTTTGTGAGTTCATTTTGTTCATCAGATTCCAGATGAGTGAGGTCATCTAGTACTTGTCTTTCTCTGACTGACCCCTGGGCAATCTGTTTGTTGGAGATATCGGTGACCCATGGTTTTTGGCTGCCTCTGCTGGGCCTGGGTGTGTGTGGAAAGGACCAAGCTGCCCCTGGTGCTTTTACCAGCACCAGGCCCTTGGGAGCAGGTCAGCAAAATTCCCCATCCCCAGAGATCAGCTCTGCCTGCAGGCTGCCTGTTCGGCTCAGCCACTGAAAGAGCTGCTGGCTGTACTCCTCAGCAGGGCGTGAGTGCTGCAGGGTGGGGCGAGAGGGATTCCAGAGGGTGTGGCTACTCCTCCCCTCCCCCCTCGGCTGATGTGGTATAAAGGGGAGTGCACCACCCAAGAAAGATGACTTCTGAGAAATGGGGAAATGACTCAGCAAAGGGATCCTGGTGGCTGACCCTTCAGTTCTCTCCCCAGAGCCACCAACCCTAGAATCTCTGCATGTGGTTCTAGTTCGCTCTGCCCTCCCTCCAATGGAACCCAGGGTGAGTGGCTGAGAATGAAATTTTGTGTTGGGCCTTTACGAGGATGCCTGTGTCCCTAGCCATCTCTCCTGGCCGTCAGAAACCCCGTTGCTTTACACAGGCAGACGTTAAGTGCGCACCTATTCCCGGCTCCCACACTTCTCAGGGGAAACCCCTCATAGCTGAGATATCCCTCCGGAACCTCAGCAGCGGCCTCTGGGAGCAGGGCCAGCCCTCTCGCCCCTCTGCACGTCCTACTAGTCTCCATGTGGCTTCTTCTGTAAGTCCTTGGTTATAAGGCTTCTCTTCACGAGTCTCCATTTAGCTATTCAGGATGATTCTTCTATAATTTAATTGTGATTCCAGTTTGGTCCTGGGAGGAGTTAGTGTAGCTCCCACCCGATCCATGCCATCTTGGACCTCCACGCGGTACTTTGACAGAGGTGACCTTCCGGCCGTGGGCTTGCATTCATCGGCTGGGTGGCAGTGGTGGGTAGTTCATGCTCCTGCCACGTTTCTGCTTGTGTTTGTGGGAAGCAGGGTCTCCAGCATCTCCTGCTTTCTCACACGGCACCTGGGATCCCCGGGCTCGTATCGGAGCCGCACAGTTGCTGGGCCCAGGGTTGGTGCTGCCTCCTGGCTCCTGAAAACTCCTAACGAGAGTGAGTGACAGGGTGCTGCCTGCCGGGACCACGAACTGTTCTTTTTTTTTTAAGATTTTTTTTATTGCTTTTTAGAGAAAGAAGAGGGGAGAGAAAGGTCAATCTGAAAGTGAAACATCAGCCCTGACTGGTTTGGCTCAGTGGATAGAGCGTCGGCCTGCGGACGGAGGAGTCCCAGGTTCGATTCCAGTCAAGGGCATGTACCTTGGTTGTGGGCACATCCCCAGTGGGGGGTGTGCAGGAGGTGGCTGATCAATGTTTCTCTCTCATCGATGTTTCTAACTATCTCTCTCCCTTCCTCTCTGTAAAAAAAACAATAAAATATATTAAAAAAAAGAAGAAGAAAAAAAAAGTGAAACATCAATCGGCGGCCTCCTGCAGGCCCCCAACTGGGGACAGAGCTCAAAACCCAGGCCCGCGTCCTGAGGGGCAACGCTTGCGGCACAGGACGACGCCCACCCCTCTGAGCCACAGAGGCCAGGGCCGCGTTTCTGTTTGTTTGTTTTCTGAAGAACAAGAATCGGGGTATTTTTCAATGTCCCTCCTTATGCGTTCCTGAGTTTTACGTGTTCCTCAATGCGTATTTCACAAGGACAACACGAGCTGAGGCAAGGTCCTGGTTTGTGCTTAAGAGACAAAACTCAGCTGTCCCTGAGACTGGATGATTCGGGTCGTTCTAGCAGATCCGTCACCAGACACGCTCCGTGCTCCTTTCCAGTCAGACATCTGGACACCGGGTGTCCCGCCAGCATTTCCCAAGCCGGGGCGGAGCCCCCTGCAGGGTAAGTGAGCACCAGCGCCCGCGGCTGCACCACGCCCGGCACTCAGCTCTCCGAGGCAGGTAATCCACGGCGCCGAGCTACTGGGCGCCACGGAACCCACTTCCCCGGGTGGCTCCAGGCTCGGCCGGGACCCGTGGACTGTGTCAGGAGGGGCCAGGAGGAGTGTGGCAGCGCCGGGCGGGCCTGGCTGCTGAGGACAGGCCTCCGTCTGGGCCTGAGCTGGACACCTGCAAAGGGGTGGACGCGCCACGAGGGGTCTGGAGTCACTTCTGCCCCTGGCACTGGGCTTCTGCTTGGAGCCAGCTGTGCCCCCCACAGAGCTGTGCATCCCCCACCCATGAGGACTCCCCGAGGGGCCCGGGGTGCTCCCCTCGCCTGGTGCAGGGGCGCTCTCAAGGTGGTGCAGACAGAACGATTGCAATGCACCCTGGGCAGAGGCCACAGTGACTCCATGGGGGCTGTCCCTGGGTGCCAGCCATTCCCCCACCTCCCACCCCACCTCCCACTCCACCTCCAGCCAAGCAGACCGGCAGGCTGCTTAGAGACAGGGCCGGCCGCCAACTTGCCCAAACAGTAAGCCTTTTTTCTCCTGAAGCAATGTTTTTGGGGAAAAGTTTAACTATTTTTCAAAGAAATGGTTACATAAGCAGAGAGTACACAGAGGGCAATTGAACTGCCTCTGTTCTTGGCTTGTCCAAAGGTGATGCCACTGTGTTTGGGATGGTCATCAGCTCAGCTCCATCTCCCGCCTCTCCCCCTTCCTCCTCCTCCTCCTCCTCCTCTTGCCCTCTCTGCCACCAGCCCAGCTGCCCTGTCCCCTTGGGGCTTGGGGCCGAGTGGGCGGAGGAAGGTGATTGGCCCTGTTTGCTGCAGCAACTGGCTCTGAAATCTGTGTCTCTCTGTTTCCCCTTATTATCATTCTCTCTAATATGTTTTTATTGATTTCAGAGAGGAAGGGAGAGGGAGAGAGAAATGGAAACATCAGTGAGGAGAGAGGATCATGGGTTGGCTGCCTCCTGCAGGCCCCACACTGGGGATCGAGCCTGCAACCTGGGCCTGGGCCCTGGCCGGGAACCGAGCCGTGACCTGGTGCCTGGGCCGATGCTCACCCACTGAGCCACGCCGGCCGGGCCAGTGTCTGCGTGAGCCCTGACTGCTCCCAGGCACCGCAGTCAGCACCTGCCAGCGCGTCAGCGAGAGGCGGGAGCAGCGCTGTGGTCGCTGACTCGCCCTGTGCCCCTTCCTGGGGCCCTACTTGGGGGTGGACAGGAAGGGACACACGCCAAGCAAGTGCATGCACCCGATCCCCTCCGGCTGGTGTCCGCTCGCCTAGCACGTGGGGAGGATGCACCTTGCGCCCATCACGAGCTCCCCACCTGGCTCTTGCCTCCACTCTGCCCTGTCCTTGCTGTGTGGCCTGGGCAAGCCCCTTCACCTCTCTGTGCCGTTTCTCCCCGGGGGAAAATGGCCACAATTTCAGCTCTAACCTACAAATGTGAGAAGGAGCACGGAGCATAATTACGTCTGGCGGGTGCCTAGGAGGTTGCCACCCTGGGAGGCCACAAAGCTAGCTGGGGGGGGGGGGGGGCGGGGGGGCAGAAAGCAGGCCATGTGGGGGCCCTGGGAGGCGGTCCGGGCCCCCCTGGCCCGCTGAGACTTAGAGCAGCTTCGCTTTTCAGAGTTGAGGGCAGAAGGGATGTCAGTCCTCCTGGTGCTGGGGCTCCTGGAGGCTGGGCTCTGCCCCACTGCCCACGGCCTCCCAGGGGACACGCCGGACCAGAAGGTGACCCCGGGCAACGAGACACCGGTGGACAACCTCCGACTGGCCTCCAGCAGCGCCGACTTTGCCTTCAGCCTCTACAGGCAGTTGGCTTGGAAGAACCCCAATAAGAATGTGCTCTTCTCCCCGACGAGGGTCTCCACCGCGTTAGCCTTCCTGTCCCTGGGGGCCCGCGGCCGCACCCTGATGGAAATCCACAAGGGCCTCAAGGTCAACCTCACGGAGACCTCGGGGACAGGAATCCACCAGGGCTTCCAGCGCCTCCTGCGCGCCCTGGGCCAGCCCCGCGGCCAGCTGGGGCTGAGCGTGGGCAACGCCATGTTCGTCATCGAGCAGCTGAAGGTGCTGGTCGAGTTCAGGGCCGAGGCCGAGGCGCTGTACGCCTCCGAGGCGCTCTCCACCGACTTCCGGGACCCCCCTGCGGCTTGGCCCAGCGGCTCACCAACCACTACGTGAGGGAGAAGACCCAGGGGAAACTGCTGGACCTGGTCGGCGACCTGGACGCAGGGACGGCCATGGTCCTGGTCAACTACATCTTCTTCAAAGGTGAGTCCCGCGCGGGCTCAGAGGGACGCAGACCTCAGTTCTGATCTTTCCCGGCGATGGCTCTCCTGGCCCAGCAGCCTGTGTTATTCCAGAAACCGCCATGGAGGAGGGTGTCCGGTGTGTGCGTGGGGCCTGGAGAGGGGCCTGGGCCCGTGGCCCGCCCTGCACGAGGCATCGCCTTCTCTTGGGGTTTTCCAAGTGAGTGTGTCCCCCTCACATGCTGCAGAGGAGCCACTGACCTCTGTCGGGCCAGGGGGCCTTCTCGTCCGCCTGACGCTGGCCCAGCTCCCGGGAGGAGGCCGCTGTCCTTCCCAATCCCCGTGGGCAGGAGGGGCGGGAACGCGCTTCTTCCCCGAGGGATGGCGTGGTGCTCCGGCGACCTCTGCCCGCACAGCTGGGCCTGGCTCCGTCCCAGCCGGGCCTTGGTCTCCGGAGGGAGGGAGAGTGCGGGACAGTGGCCATCTCCAGGGTGACAGCCTCCAAGCACCGGCAGCCCAGCTCTGGGAGTGTTCTCTCCTACAGGCTTGAGGGTGCCCGTGGCCCAGGCCCCCACGTCACCGTCCGGCCTCCTCCCTCTTTCCCCAGCCCCCTCTCTCCTGTCTTCCTACGCCCACACTCCCGTGTGTGTGTCATGAGCACCATTAACGGGTCTTCCATTCCCAGCCCCTCTCCCCCCACACCTGGGGGTGCCCATCTGCCAAGGAGTTCTTGCCAACCAAGCCGGGTCATTCCTAAGAGGAGCCGCGGATTGGCTGTTGGGGTGCGGAGTGTCTTCACCGCCCAGGGACCCCGAACAAAGGGGTGGTCAGGGCAGCCCCCGCATTCACAGCTCTCCCCCTGACCCCGCCCGCCTCTCCCTCCTCCAGCCAAGTGGAAGATGCCCTTTGACCCCAAGAACACCTTCCAGTCCAAGTTCTACGTAGGCCAGGGGAGGTGGGTGACGGTGCCCATGATGAGCTCCGAGTACCTGAAGACGCCCTGCTTCCGCGACGAGGCGCTCGCCTGCTGGGTGGTGGAGCTCGGGTACGCGGGCGCCGCCAGCGCGCTCTTCGTCCTCCCGGACAAGGGCAAGATGAAGGCGGTGGAGGCCGCGCTGCAGCCCGAGACCCTGCGCAGGTGGAGAGACTGACTGCGGACGAGGTGACTACCCCAGGCCGGGGGCGGCGGGCCATCCTCGCTCACCCCCACGCTTCCCCCGTCCCGGCCCCACCCCCACGTGGGCACAGCCTCCCTGAGGTCCCGGGTGGGCGTGCGGTGCTGGGACAGCATCTGGCCCGTGTCCTCCGTGTGGCTTCGGCTTGAATGTTTTCTTCTATGAGATGAAAATATCAGACTTGCCAGGGCTCCGGCTGCCTCTGACTCTTACATCATTCAAGTCGCGGGTCCTCATCACAGCCCCAGCCTCATGCCCGTCCCTTCCTTGCCAGCCTCCTGAGGGTGAGGGGCCGAGGCATGGGGACTGGCTGAGGCCTGAGCTGAGACGGGCTGAGAAGCCGCTTCTCTCTGTGGCCCGTGCAGCTGCCTCCCGCCTCTTCCACCCAGCTGGCCCTTCGCCTCCTTCAGGAGGGACTCAGGCTCGCTGTCACCTCGGTGCAGGAAGCCGCCTGCCTGGGGCAGCCTCCCAGGGCCTGCGAACCTCCGTGGGCATGAAGGGTTCCCCCTGCACCACTGGTTTGCAAGGGAAGGGCAGGGCCCCAGCCCCAGCCCCATGCGCTGACATGAACGATAAAGAGTGAATTGAGAGAGTGGCCGGCCGGTGTGGCTCGGTGCTCAGCAGGGGGCGTGCAGGAGGCAGCAGATCCATGTTTCTCTCTTGGGATGTTTCTTCCGCTCTTTCTAAAATCAATGAAATACATGTTTTTAAAAAGGAGCAAAAGAAAAGTAAGCACCAGGGGTCAAGACAGTGAGGAAGGAGCCCATCTGGTGGGGCTCCGAGGATGAGCATCGGCCTGTGAACCAGGGCTCACAGTTTGATTCCTGGTCAGGCACAGACCCGGGTTGCAGGCTTGACCCCCAGTGTGGGGCGTGCAGGAGGCAGCTGATCCATGATTCTCTGTCATCACTGATGTTTCTATCTCTCACTCCCTCTCCCTTCCTCTGTGAAATCAATCTATAATAGTAAAAGCATAATATGCTAATTAGACTGGACAGCCAAATGACCTTCCGGACGTCATTCCAGACAAAGCCACAGTGGTGGGGGCCAAGGCAGAGGTGGTTAGGGGCAATCAGGCAGGCAGATGTGGGATTGGGCCTAAACTAGCAGGATTCCCCCTAGGAGTCCCAGATTATGAGAGGGTGCAGGCTGAGCTGAGGGACCCCCCCCCCCATGCATGAATTTCGTGCACTGGGCCTCTAGCATCTATACTAATAAAAGGGTAATATGCAAATTAACTGTCAGTCCACGACAAAATGGTGGCGCCCATAGCCACAAAGATGGCGGTGCCGGCTGAAGCCATGGAGCCGGCCGGAGCGGGCAGGACGCTTGGCTTCCTTCAGGTGGGACGCTTGGCTTTTTTTGTCAACCCAGCAACAAAGGAAGCCAAGCCTCCCACCAAGGGCTGGCCTCTGGGCTGCAGCCACGGAGCCGGCTGGAGTGGGCAGGAGACAGCTCCAAGCCGGAGTGAACGCGGAAGGTGGCGGCCAGAGCAAAGGCCTGGGTCCGGGTGCCGGAGGGAAGCCAGTGCCGGCAACCAGGGAAGGAAGGCCTATTCTTGCATGAATCTTTATGCACCGGGCCTCTAGTGTATATATATATATAAGAAAGTGAGGAATGCCTGGCTGGTTTGGCTCACTGTATAGAGCGTCAGCCTGTGGACCAAAGGGTCCCGGGTTTGATTCCAGTCAAGGGCATATACCTTGGTGGCAGGCTCCTCCCTGGCCCAAGCCCTGGTTGAGGCTCGTGCAAGAGGCAACCAATTGGTGTGTTTCTCTCACATCACTGTTTCTCTCTGTCTTTCCCTCTCTCTTCCATTCTCCCTAAAATTCAATGGAAAAATATCCTCAGGCGAGGATTAACAACAACAACAAAGAAAGTGAGGCAGGAAAGGCTCATTTGCAGCACTCACGTCTGTTCTCTCCTCTCCTCCTAGGCCGGTGGAGCTCCGCCTGCCGAAGTTCTCCCTCTCCAGCCTCTGTCACCTGGAAGGCGTCCTCCCCTCCCTCTCCAGCCTCTGTCACCTGGAAGGCGTCCTCCCCTCCCTCTCCAGCCTCTGTCACCTGGAAGGCGTCCTCCCCTCCCTCTCCAGCCTCTGTCACCTGGAAGGTGTCCTCCCCTCCCTCTCCAGCCTCTGTCACCTGGAAGGCGTCCTCCCCGGCTGGGCCTGAGGAGGGTCTTCAGCAAGAAGGCCGACCTGTCGGGGATCACAGGCGACGAGAACCTGGCGGTCTCTCAGCTGAGTCGACAGCGTGGACATCGGCCTCCGCGTGGAGCTGGGAACAGCCAGGCCGGGCAGAGGCCAGGGAGTCTCCCATCCCCACACAGAGCTGCCCTCCTCATGCCCAGTCGCCCCCAGGAGCTGGGTGCTGAGGCACGGGCGGGCCCCTCCCTGCAGTCTCATGGGACAGAGCCGGGCATAGGGGAGAGCCTGGGGTACAATCAGCAGAGGACACCCCCATGCTCCTCCCCTTACTGCCTGCAGAGCCCATGGCTCGAGGCCTGTCCCCTCAGCTTTTTCACGGGTAAATGGGGGGAGAAGTCTTGCCCAGTGCCCATGCCCCACGGCTCTGGGGCGATTGTGATGAAGGGGCACGAAGAGATGGGAGATCCCGGGGACCCTGCATTGCGTGCCTAGAAGCAGAGTAGTCAGAGAACGAGGAGCTGCTGGGGAGCCCTCGACCCTCATCTGCACCTCACCTCCCAAAGGGTGTGGCAATGGAAGGTCAAGTGCAGGGGTGGGGGTGGGGCAGCTGCAGGGCCCAGGGATGTGAATTCACATCCCCTGCGACATCGCCGAAGCCCAAGGACATGGGGCTGGGGCAGGAGGGATGCTGACGCAGGGCCCGCTGTCTGTGGGTCCGAACGCTCTGCACCAGCTGCCTGCACAGGAGCCTGTGGGAAAACGCCCTCCTGCGTGTCCCCCACAAGAGTGGGCGTGGGGGCAGCACCGTCTCTGGGCTCAGGCGGGGGACCCACCCAGGGTGCCCCTGCCCTGCACCCGGCAGGCCCCTCACAGCCCCGAGCCTCACGTGCACATGTGCGCATCAGGGCTCCGCACACCAGGGTGCCGGGAGGAGCGGACCAGCTGAGCCGGTTGGCGGCAGCGTGGCAGTCAGCGGTGGGTAAATGCCAGCCCTGAAAGCCGCGCGGGCGGGCGGGCTGCGGCCTCCTGCTCACCGTCTGGGGCGGCCCCGGTCCTCACAGGTGGTGCACAAGAGCCTGATGGACGTGGCCGAGACGGGCCCGAAGCCGCCGCCGCCATGGGAGTCAGAAAGATGCGTAAGTCCGAGAGAATCAATCCCACGGGCTTCTCTCGTGAAGTTCAACAGGCCCTTCCTGTTCGCCATCCTCTCCGAGGGCACCCAGAGCATCCTCTTCTGCGGCAAAGTGGCCAACCCCAGGGCAGCCTAGGGCTCCCTCCCCCTCGTGCCCCAGCCGTGGAGGGCGCCTGTCTCCGGGGCAGCCTGGCCCCATGCACCGTGGGCTGCTGGGCCTCGCCCTGCCTGCCCCTCCTGGGGAAGCGCCCATGACTGCTGGTGGCTCCCACGCGTGCCTCTGAGGCTCCGTGACCTCCGACAGCAGTAAACCAGGGGCCTCGGCTCGGCGTGTCCCTGTGCCTTTCCCGGATCTGCCCGACCCCACGCGCTGTGGCCGTCCTCAGTGAGAGTCCTTTCCCTCGGATTTTCCCTGGTGAAATGGGGTGACAGGTCTTGGCTACTGCGCAGTGCCCAGCAGAACAGGTAAGAGGTGCTAGGCAGTAACCATGGCTACGGGCGACTGTGATGAAGATACACTAAGATAGCGGTCGCCAACCGGGGCTCCGCGGACCCCTGGTGCTCCGTGAGGTCCGAGAGGTTGGCAACCGCTGCTCTGAGAGACAGAAGAACCCGGGGACCCCAGGCTGCCAAGTAGGCTCCGCCCCCTGCCAGGCCCTGGGCTCTGCCTTCACCCCCAGCAGCCCGGCCCGGACAAGCCAGCCTGGACCTCAGGCCCAGGACCAGGAGGGACCTGCTGCCCGGTGTTGCCTCCCGAAGGCTCGCTGGTCCCAGTCCCGGTGTCACTCTCCCTCCCCAAGGTCTGCCCACATGGCCACCCTGTGGGGGCTCCAGACCTGACCTCACCTGGCACAGCCGGACCCCTGGCTCCTGCAGCTGAGCCAGGCCCTCCTTGTCCTAGAATCTCCGGCCCAGCCCCCCACACCAGGGACATGCAGCACCCCAACCCGGGGAGAGTGGCCACGTTTCAGAAGTGAGGTCCTGAGCCCTGCCCCTGCCAGAGGGCCCCCCGGCAACCAGAATGAAGGTCGGGGGTCAGCGGAGCGTGAGCACCCACAGCAGTAAAAGCCATCACCCGTCACGGCGCGGGGAGGGCTGAAACTCTGGGCCCCAGGGGTCACCAGGCATCGTGACAAGGTCACCAACATCGAGCACGGGCTTGAGATCCAGCTGCCAGGCCTCACCCAGCCCCTGTGGGGGCCTGTGAAGTAGATGCTGCTCTTGCTCCCATTGTATGGATGAGGAGACTGAGGAGCAGCAGCTCAGAGAGCTCCCCCAGGCCACACAGCGGGTGATGATGGCGGGCAGGATGCTCTCCCAACTTGCTTGGCGTCACACACACACTCTAAACCACAAAGCGATTCTGCCCTGAACGATTTCCACAGTGACGGCTCTCCCCGGACTCGGACTGTGATGGGCAAGACAGGTGGTGAGACGAGGCTCTGGAAGCTGAGACTCGAGAGCACCCAACTCCACTGGGGAAGCCAGGGAGGGCTCCCTGGAGGAGGTGGCTTCTGCCCTGCGATCAGAGGGAGAGTAGAGGATGGGTAAGTGAACAGCGAGGAGAATGTTCCAGGCAAGAGAAAGAGTGATGGGAGGATTTTCAAGAAACCAAAAGAATTGGGCAGGCCTGGAGCAGGGCCGGATGGAGGCCTGAGGGGCGGCAGGGGCCACCGTGGAGCCGCTGGGCGCTCGGGGCCGGGCAGCTCAGTGAGGATGCTGCCATGGCTACTTAGAGCCGCAGGCAGCTTTAACGAGTTCAGACAGAGAGTGGGAGTGAGCAGACTTGCGTCTGAGAAAGAGGCTGCGGCTGCTGCGTGGAAGGGTCCGGGGCCCGGACGGGGCTGTGGGCTGCACTGAGGCAGAGATGGGCCGCTGACGAGGGAGAGGGGACGCTCGAAGGCTGTGGGGAGCCGGTGTGAGGCGTGAGGGGAGGAAGGAGGAAAACACATGTGGGTGTGGCTCCTGGCGACGACGGCTTCCCCGAGACGGACCCGGGGAGCAGCGTGCGGAGGGAAGTGACATGTCAGGTCTGGACACAGCCGCGCCCTCAGTTCCTGGGAGACAGACAGGACGTTGTCAGGAGTCAGGAGGGAGGTCGAGGCTGGAGGGAGCAGCAGGACGCCCCGGGGTGGGCAAGTAGCCATCGGGGCCCCACCCCGAGTCCCAGGTGTGCAGAGAAGGGCGTGCTCCTCCGAGGGGTCGTTTACAGGCAGCTCTCCAGTGAGTGGGGGGCCGGGAGGGGCCAAGGGGAAGGTGTCCCCCCAGGACCTGCAGAAGGTAACCAAGGAGCCGGGAGGGGCCAGGGCGTGAGCGAGTGGGGCTGGGCTGCAGCGGCGGCTCCCCGCACCCCAGTGCCAGGTCCTCTCACTTCCGTGACTTGGGCAATTCGGAGGTGCCAGGGAGAACCCCAAGTCCCTCCTTGAGGGGAAAGGTGAAAGCTCTCAACGTAAGAAGGAAACAGTCACGCTAAGACCTGAGGGAGAAGGACTCTCCCACCATGAAAGTGAGAGGGGAGAGCAGTGCGCCGGCTCGCTGCCACGCTGCACCGTCGGCACAGGAGGGAGGGTGCGGCCGGCCACCGAGGCACGGAGGAGACCACGCTCACGCAACTTTTAGTACAGCCCATGGGCCTCCTCGCTCTCTTCCATCGTTAGTTATTGATTAAGTTATCCGTGAACTCCATCACCGGTGGGATGCGCAGGAGAAAACACAGCATGGGGTCAGTACTGTGGTTTCCGGCCTCCAGGGGGGGCCTTAGACGTGTCCCCGTGGATAGGGGGGCGCCTGCTGTATTAATAAGAGCTATGTGTACACCTGGTTTGGATCATCATTTAAACAAACCAAGTGCAAAAATAAATTGGGGCCCGGCCGGCGTGGCTCAGTGGTTGAGCGTCCACCTATGAACCCGGAGGTCACGGTTCGATTCCCCGTCAGGGCACATGCCCGGTTGCAGGCTTGATCCCCAGTGCGGGGCGTGCAGGAGGCAGCTGATCAATGTTTCTCATCTATCTCTCTCCCTCTCCCTTCCCCTCTGAAATCAATAAAAATATTTTAAAAAAATAATAAATAAATTGGGGAACCAATTAGGGAAACAATGGCCTGAGCACTGATTTTAAGGAGTTTACTGGTTTTGTAGGGTGTGACACATACTACTGTGGCTAGGATGTTTTAACACTCTTACAGATCAAGGGGTGTTTAGGATTTGCTTCAGAGCATTCCCAAGGGGACGGGGTTGGGGCAGGGCCTGATCCTGTCCTCAAGTTGGTGACATCGGATGGAAGCTGCCGATGGGGACGTGGGCTTCGCTAGGCCATCCCCTCCATTACACGTTAGAATTCTCCCGTCACCAAACCTGGAGCGGACAGGAAAGTCCTTGAGAGCAGGGTTGTGCCTTAGTCCCAGCACTGGATGAATGAGTGGGTGATGGATGACGGGACTCCCCTGTCTGCTCCCTTGACTGAATATCAAGAGAAAGAATTGAAAATCCTGAGGCAGCAATAGGGGCAGCCCCGGCCGATGGCTCCGTTGGTTGGCGCGTTGTCCGTATGCCAAAAGGGTTGTGGGTTCAATTCTAGGTTTCGGGTTTGATCTCCGGTTGGGGTGTGTATAGGGGACAACCAATTGATGTTCCTCTCTCATATTTCTCTCGATATTTCTTTCTCTCTCTCTTCCTTCTTGTCTCTCTAAAATCAAGAAAAATGTCCTTGGTGGGGATTTGAAAAAGAAGTGGCTGTGTGGGTGTTTAGGTCCAGGCGTGGGTGCGGAGAAGAAAAATGAAGTCGGAATGAGCAAACCCGGGAGGAAGGAAGCCTGCTCCCACCCATGAGCCCACGCCCTGTCGCCAGGCCACCTTTGTCCCTTCCCGCCACCCGCCAGGACGGAGAAGGTGTTTGGGCTGAAAGGTTTCGCAAACACTCTCTGCTGGGCACACATTAACCTTTGTTTATGCCGCTCTGAGTGGCCGGGCCTGCTGACGTCCCGAGAGCTGGGCGTGGCGATTTGAAAGACGATGTTCAAGAGTCGGAACCCACACCCCCGGGAGGCCAGACCCGGGGCGTGGGCTGCGTTCCGTGACGCGCACGGCGTGGGCACGGGGTGGGTGGCCGCAGAGCGTGTCCGGCAGGAATGGAGCCGGAGCGGCTGCAGGCGGCCCCAGTGAACTCAGCCTCTCCCTGGATTCGAAGCCCACAGGCGTCACTACATTGAACTTCCTGGCCACCTGGAGTGGGAGGGGCAGAGGAGGAACCGGGCCTGGGGGAGGGGCAGGCTGCAAACAGTGATGGACTGAGTCCCCGGGCACCAGGCCCGCCCACACCGAGCTCTGCCCCGCGAGGACCTCGCACAGCCCGAACACGGGCGGGCAGTTTGCCTCCTGCCGGGTGCTGTGGGCGACGTGGGCCACGGGCAGCCTCGGGACAGCCTGCTAGTCCCACAGTCCAGCCTCCGTCCTCCCGCGACAGGCTTCTGTGTCCCGGGCCACGACTGTGGAGCCCCTCAGCTCCTTGGCAGGTTCAGGTGAGTGGGGGCTGCGGGTGGGGCTGGAGCGGGAGCCACGGCCCCCAGCCAGCGTGGTGGACCTGCCACGGGTCACCTCACGAGTCACACAGGAGCAGGCACACACAGGAGCAGGCACACATGTGAACACACATGTACACACACATGCACCCTCCTGCTCCCAGAGCTGTCTGTACAGACAGCAGCTTGGAGTGGTGCTGGCTCACTCTGCCTCCATGGCCTTGAGAAGGCTCGTCCCTCTGCTGAAACCCTTCTCCTGACTCATTTCCAGTCTCAGGTCAGGGGCTCCCTCCTCCGGGGAGCCCTCCAGGAGCTCCCTGCCTCCTGCAGGCTCCCCTCCCACTGCCATGGCTCAGGGAGCTGTAACCAGCCCTGCACTGCGTCTCTCCCGGTGGCTGGTGAGCTTCTTCCGGACAGGGCTCCGGATGCATGTTTGCTGAATGAGTCGGCAAGTGAACGAGCCAGCGTCTCTCTGGGCCTCAGTTTCCCCATCTGTGCAGCGCTCGGATTGGATCATGGCATCCAGGCAGCTCGAAAGCTCTATGGTCTGGGGGACCTGCCCGCACACTGTTCCGAGTGAATTCCGCGTGCCTGTCCCCCGTGAGCCCGGGCACCCGTGTCTCATCCATCCGCTTCCCCAGCGCCCAGCTCAAGTCCCGACAGGCTTCCAGCCGATGTTTGTGTGGTGAATGGATGAATGAATGAATGAACAAATGAATGAATAAGGGAATGAACTTTTCATTAAAGCCAAGATATTCACCAGTGTTCCCTGCCGATAGACAAAGTGGAGCCCGTTTTACCCTCGAGGCTGAGCTCCCGTTCTTCTCCCCTTACAGACAAGGGGACTTGGGTTAAAAGGCTCGGGCTGCCCACGGTCCCGTGGGAGAGCCAGAGGCAGGGCAGGGGTGTGACGGTGGTTATTCCTGCCCACACCCGAGTGCACCCCTGGGGCCCGCTCTGGCCCTCACTAACATAAAGTCTGGGGGCCCCAGGAATCTGCTGAGTCAGAATCACTAGGGGGGAGCCCTCTTGCAATCTGGGACTGCTGGCTCCTAACCGCTCACCTGCCTACCTGCCTGCCTGATTGCCTCTAACCACTCTGCCTGCTGGCCTGCCCCCCCTGCTGCTGGCCTGCTCGCCCCCAAATGCCCCCCCCCCCCGCCAGCATGCTCATCCCCAACTGTCCCCCTGCTGGCCTGCTCACTCCAAACTGCCCCCCCCCCTGCTGTCCTGATCACTTCCAACTGGCCCCCCTGCTGGTTTGCTTACCCCAATGGCCCCGCCCCCCCACCAGCCTGATCACCCACAACTGCCCTCCCCCCTTGGCCTCTAACCGCCTCTACCTTGGCCCTGCCACCATGGCTTTGTCCAGAAGAACATCTGGAAGGTCTCCTGGAAGGTCTCCCAGTCCAATTAGCATATTACTCTTTTATTAGTATAGATATATTTGTCTGTGATATGGTTATGATTGCAGATATGAGTAGGACCAGGTAAAATGTTATAGAATGGGCCTTTTACTATAGATGGTTTGCCATGTATGCATTTTTTCTAAAGAAGTAAAAATTACTTTAAAAAATGTTTCAGGAGGAGAACCAAGATGGCGGCATAGGTTAACGCCGGAGTTTGCTGCTCTGAACAACTACTTCAAAAGTGAAACCAAAAAACGGAAGGGACATCACCCAGAACCACAGGAACGCTGGCTGAGTGGAAGTCCTACAACTAGGAGGAAAGAGAAACGCATACGGACACTCAGAGGAGGCGCAGTGCTGAAGTCAAATTCTGAGGTGCGGAGTGCGCGGAGCGGGCTGGCGGCGGCGGAGGGCGCGGTTGGCGTTTTCAATCGGGAGGGAGTCGCAGACTCTGAGCTCCAGATCCGGGCGAGTCTTTAGCGACCCAGACTCAAACGGGAGAAGCAGGACTGTCTGGCTTCGGTCAGAGCAAGTGCAGCTTTCTCTCTGAGCTTTGCAGTGGGTGCTGGGACTCAGAGAGGCAGAGCCCCTGGGGACAGGACTGAGAGCCGCCATAACTGCTCTCTCCGGCCCACCCTGTTGATCCTGTTCGACCTGCCCCGCCCAAGCCCTGCACAGAGGCATTTGCCGGATAGCCTCAGGCAAAGGCTAGATTAGCACCTCCCTAGAGGACAGAAGTTCTCTCACTACTGACACAGCTGATTCTCATAGCCACTTGGCCTGGAGGTCAAACCCTCCCTGGAATTAGCTACAACAATCAAGATTTAACTATAAGACTGCGAACAAAGACCACTAGGGGGTGCACCAAGGAAGCATAACAAAATGCGGAGACAAAGAAACAGGACAAAATTGTCAATGGAAGATATAGAGTTCAGAACCACACTTTTAAGGTCTCTCAAGAACTGTTTAGAAGCCGCCGATAAACTTAATGCAATCTACAAGAAAACTAATGAGACCCTCGATCTTATATTGGGGAACCAACTAGAAATTAAGCATACACGGAATGAAATAACGAATATTATACAGACTCCCGACAGCAGACCAGAGGAGCGCAAGAATCAAGTCAATGATTTGAAATGCGAGGAAGCAAAAAACACCCAACCGGAAAAGCAAAATGAAAAAAGAATCCAAAAATGCGAGGATAGTGTAAGGAGCCTCTGGGACAGCTTCAAGCGTACCAACATCAGAATTATAGGGGTGCCAGAAGATGAGAGAGAGCAAGATATTGAAAACCTATTTGAAGAAATAATGACAGAAAACTTCCCCCACCTGGTGAAAGAAATGGACTTACAGGTCCAAGAAGCGCGGAGAACCCCAAACAAAAGGAATCCAAAGAGGACCACACCAAGACACATCATCATTAAAATGCCAAGAGCAAAAGATAAAGAGAGAATCTTAAAAACAGCAAGAGAAAGAAACTCAGTTACCTACAAGGGAATACCCATACGACTGTCAGCTGATTTCTCAACAGAAACTTTGCAGGCCAGAAGGGAGTGGCAAGAAATATTCAAAGTGATGAATACCAAGAACCTACAACCAAGATTACTTTATCCAGCAAAGCTATCATTCAGAATTGAAGGTCAGATAAAGAGCTTCACAGATAAGGAAAAGCTAAAGGAGTTCATCACCACCAAACCAGGATTATATGAAATGCTGAAAGGTATCCTTTAAGAAGAGGAAGAGGAAGAAAAAGGTAAAGATACAAATTATGAACAACAAATATGCATCTATCAACAAGTGAATCTAAGAATCAAGTGAATAAATAATCTGATGAACAGAATGAACTGGTGATTATAATAGAATCAGGGACATAGAAAGGGAATGGACTGACTATTCCTGGGGGGGAAAGGGGTGTGGGAGATGCGGGAAGAGACTGGACAAAAATCGTGCACCTATGGATGAGGACAGTGGGTGGGGAGTGAGGGCGGAGGGTGGGGCGGGAACTGGGAGGAGGGGAGTTATGGGGGGAAAAAAAAGAGGAACAAATGTAATAATCTGAACAATAAAGATTTAATAAAAAAAAAAAAATAAAAAAAAAAAATAAAAAATGTTTCAGGAAGACTTTGAGAAATTTACAGTATCTGCTTTTCTTCCAAGAAAGTTGTCACTTTTATGCCAGAGTGAGAATTATTTGTGTGCTTTGTATGTCAGCATTGGGCCTCTGTGACTGGGGGTACTTAGCTTGACTTGAGGGTAATTATCTTGCTCACTGGCTGGGAGGGAGGGTGTGAGGCAGAGGAGATAAATACTCGGTTCTGGATTATTCATAGATTGCTGACCTTCTGGATTGATTGTGCAAGCCCCTCCTTTTATTGATGTCCACCTTCTGTTGACAGACAGCTACCCTGGGAGAGAAATGAGATGAAACTCTCTTTCTTTTCACTGTAAAAAGCATTTGAATTCCTAAGGTGTGATAAGGCCTCCCAGCCATCCACAGTCAAGGTACACATTTTCATGGAGGATGTTCCCACTCTTGAATAAATTAAAACAATTTTTTTCTTTTAATTTAAACTTTCCTCTATAACTGTTTTCTTGTTACTTAAAAGCTAGTTTTTTTGAAACTACTTCCAAAGCTTTTCAAGCTGTATATGTCCTTGGAATGAATTTATAAATTAGAATTGAGCCCGGCCAGTGTGACTCAGTGGTTTAGCATCGACCTATGAACCAGAAGGTCATGGTTTGATTCCCAGTAAGGGCACATGCCCGGGTTGTGGGCTTGATCCCCAGTACGGGGCGTGTAGGAGGCAGCCGATCAATGATTCTCTCTCATCATTGATGTTTCTATCTCTCTCCCTCTCTCTTCCTCTCTGAATCAGTAAGAATATATTTGAGAGAGAGAGAGAGAGAGAGAAAGAGAATATATGTTTGTAAATAAGAAAACATGTATTTGATGCTCTTAGAAAGTCTTATTTTCTTTCATTAAAACTTGTGCAGTATAGGGAACTCCATAGATTCTCTTAATTTGAAGAAAGTTAGAGGGAAAGGTACTAATTCAGAGTTCGTTGGGAAAATGTGTCACTTATACATTTTTTTATGTTTTTTTTTAATCAAAAACTGAAATATTTTCTATTCAGAAAATATATTTGGATCTAAGTATCTCCTATAATTTTAACCCTAAAATATCAATTTAAATATTTTAAAAATGGTTGGGATGTTTGTTTTTTTAAGTAAGTTAGGTTACTGGAGTTCTACATGTTACCGGATCACCTGGGGTAATTTTCTGATTAGAAAATTAAGAATTATAGTCAGAGGGGAGGACATGAGAATTTTTAAAGAACATATTCAATTTACTTTAGAAGCCGAACCTCTCTTATCATGTGACTTGTTTTGAATGTTTGTTAAACTATATTATCACATCAGCATGGCTGCTATTGGGACAAACAGTGACAGTTGATTCAGGTCATTTGAATGTCCATTGTCTGTTTTAATTTGTATGTTCGTTTTGACTCTGTCATATGCTCAAACTTCAGTGGAAGTCTTGAGAACCTATTATTTTTGCCTGCTCCCTCCTTTATGTTGGAAATATTCTCTTTTACTCAGAGGGACCTTAACTTTGCTGTAAGGGATTGTTCCCGTTGCCAATGTTTTCTTCCTTGCCAAGTAAGGGTGTTGTGAACTCTTCAGTGATGCCTTCCCCAGGATATTTGCAGATGTGGTTGGGAAAAGTCATTTCATCCCCGACCTTTGCATGTCAGGTGCTGGGGTGCCGGGGTGCTGCCTCGCCTGTGCCCCGGCTCTCCGGTCCCGATGCGGCTCTCTCTCCCTCCGATCACCATGGTGACCACGGGGTGCAGGCCAGGCGGCACCTCTGGGCCCCCGGGGGTGCCGCCTGGCCTGCGTCCCGGCTCTCTCTCCCTCCGATCACCATGGCGACCATTGGGCTGCAGGACAGGTGGCACCACCTGGCCCCCCGCGGGTGCCGCCTCGCCTGCAGCCCGGCTTTCCAATGGCGATCACCTGGCTCTTGCCTGCTGCCTGGGTTTCCGATCACTGTTCTTCCGTCCTTCCTCTTTTGCCTCCCATCATTGTGCCTATGTATGCAAATTAACCACCATCTTTGTTGGCAGTTAATTTGCATATCACCCTAATTAGCCAATGGGAAGCGTAGTGGAGGTACGGTTAATTACCCTTTTTGTCTTTTATTAGATAGGATTACAATTACCGTTGTTGTTGTTGTTGTCCTCCCGCGCCCCTGCTTCTAGAATCTTGACCAAGGACTCCAGAGGATGGAGGCCCCCCGGTGGTGGCTGCTGGTCCCTGCGCTCCTGGCTGTGGGCCATTGCCTGGCCCTGGCCAACCAGGAGGATTCTGGCCCCATGGACCCCGGCCCCCCGGACGTCCCTCCCGGGCCGGCCCTGCCCTGCCACAAGCTCTCCGTGAGCAACATAGACTTTGCCTTCGAACTCTACCGACAGCTGGCCTCAGAGGCCCCCGGAGAGAACGTCCTCTTCTCCCCCGTGAGCATCTCCTGGGCCTTGGCCACGCTCTTCCTCGAAGCGCCCGCCGCCAGCAGGGCCCACCTCCTGGAGGGCCTGGGCTTCAACCTCACCCTGGTTTCCGAGGCCGAGATCCAGGAGGGCTTCCGGGACCTGCTGCGCAGGCTCCCCGTGCAGGGCCCCCAGCTCCTCCTGACGCTGGGCCAGCGCAGGTTCAGCGGCCTGGGCCCGGGGGCTGCCCAGGACCCGGCGGGAGCCCAGCACAGCATCCGGGAGTACGTAGAGAAGCAGACCCGGGGGCAGCTTGGCGCCTGGGTGGAGGGACTCAGCGATGCCACCGCGGAGGTCCTGGTGAGTCACCTGCTCCTCAGAGGTAAGAGGGGTCTATCCCAGGACCCTCCCTCGGGGCCCCAATCACACCACAGCCCCGCTCCTCACAGCCTCCACAGCCTCCCCTGCTGACTGAGATGTAGGAGCTCCAGGAATCCTTGATGCTTCTGCTTGCATACCCCCAGTGACGGGGAACTCCTCACTCCTCACATTTTAATACTACTGTTGAGTTTTTTCAAAGAAGGATTTTTCCAACTTTAGTGTGCATAGCACTCCCTGGGGAACTCGCTTACAATGCAGGTATCTTGCGCTTGTCCCCAGAAGATTCTGATTTAGGGGGCAGGTCAGTCAGGGACCCAAGACCCTGCATTTGAGGGCGGTCCCCGCCCTCCCCCCGCGGGGAGGCTGCTGCAGGAGGGCTATGATCTCCACGTTAGTAACTGTGGGCAGCGCTGAGTCACGGAGCATGAGCCCCTTCCTCTGGCAGGTCCAGGAGGCATGGATGAGAGCGGGGAGAGCCCCAGTGCTGGGAGAGCCTTTATTTTCCCAGGAGAGCGATGCAATCACGTGCCTCGCTCCTTAATCACACTCCTTCACTCAGCGGATGAGTCCGGTCCTTCTCGTCCTTGCACAGTGAGTGCTTTGTGGGGCTCCAGGGAAGTCACACCCACTCTCATTTGACCTTCTCACCTGGATGAAGCACAGAGGCTATGGCTCGTGTTTCCTTTTCACACATGAGGAGACAGATTGGTTTTAAAAGAAGAAGTGATTGGCCTGAGCCCCTAACGCATGACTCAGCTACATCCTGGGAATAGTTCTCGCCTGGTGTATGCAAGCCTGTTTGCACACACACACACTCTGAATACTGTCATGTCAGTCACTGCGCGTGTTTGATTTTGACTGAATTCTCTTCACAGCCCAACAAGGCGACTTTATTATGTCCACTTGAGAGATGGGAAAACTGAGGCCCAGTGTCAGGGGACTTGCCTCAGGCCTGCCAGCCAGGCTGAGCCGGGCCCTCACATCCACACACATTTTAGAGCAGCTGGTGCCACATGATGGATTTTTTTTCCCTTTAAACTTAACCACCTCTGGCCCCAGCTGGTGTGGCTCAGTGAATAGAGCGTCGGCCTGCGGACTGAAGGGGCCCGGGTTTGATTCCGGCCAAGGGCACATGCCAGGGTTGCGGGCTCAATCCCCAGTAGGGGGCGTGCAGGAGGCAGCCGATCAAGGATTCTCTCTCATCATTGATGGTTCTATCTCTCTTCCTCCCCCTTTCTCTCTGAAATCAATACGAATATATTTTGAAACCATTTTTTTAATTAACCACCCCAAAGAGAGTAAGGAGACCAGAGAGCAAAGCAGCCCTCACTGTCGGGCACTGCTCTGTCGCTGAGACAGCACTTACCCCGTGTCCCAAACAGGAGACGCAAGCGCAGGGCAGGCGAGGGCTCGGCCCCCGGGCTGCACAGGGCACGAGGGACGGGCCAAGAGGCAGTCACGGGGCTGGGCTTGGCGTCCACTGTGGACTCCCCACCCAGTCGCTGCCCGATGGGTGGCCCGGAGCCCATTCTCCATTCTCTCCACGGCAACCTCGCTGTTCTCGTCCCCTCAGCCGGGTGGGTGCGACCCTTTGACCCGAGAGCCACCAGCCTGAAGAAGTTCTTTGTGGACGAGCACAGGGCCGTGCAGGTGCCCATGATGCGGCAGAAGGCTCGCCACCGCTTCCTGCACGACCCCGAGCTGCAGTGCACGGTGCTGCAGATGGAGCACGCCGCCGGCGCCACCACCTTCTTCGTCTTCCCCCAGCGGGGCGGGCTGCGGCAGCTGGAGGACGCCCTGCTTCCCGAGACGCTGATCAAGTGGGACAGTCAGCTCAGGACCAGGTAGCGCGCACAGCAGGGCCGGGGACTCAGCTCCTTGCTCAGTCAGTGCGTCTCTCAGTGATGGTCTCCCCAGCGCACAGTCCCCCAGGGCACTGCCCGCCCAGGGCACTGCCCCCCCAGGGCACTGTCCCCCAGGGCACTGTCCTCACCCCAGGGCACTGTCCCCCCAGGGCACTGTCCCCCCAGGGCACTGTGTCCCCAGGGCAGTGGTCGGCAAACTGTGGTTCATGAGCCACATGTGGCTCTTTGGACCCTTGAGTGTGGCTCTTCCACAAAATACTGACTTCTGCGCATGGGCCACGAAGTTTCAGTCACACTGTACGTGTGCGCCCGCACGTGGTATTTTGTGGAAGAGCCACACTCAAGGGACCAAAGAGCCGCATGTGGCTTGCGAGCCGAAGTTTGCCGACCACTGCCCTAGGGCACTGTCCCCCTAGAGCACTGTCCCCCCAGGGCACTGTCCCCCCAGGGCACTGTCCTTGGCCTCCCTGAAGGTGTCAGGATGGGGCCTGGTCAGTTGGTGTCTGGAGGCTGGTTCTAGTCCCAGCTCTGGTGCCCACTTGAGTGACCCCATGATGCACAGAGTTCCAGCCCTTAAGCAGTGGGGAAAGGAAAGAGGGCCCAGGACAGATGTTGAATGGAGGATAGCAGGTCCAGGACAGATGTTGAATGGATGAGGATGGAGGGCCCTGGACAGATGTTGAATGGAAGATAGCAGGTCCAGGACAGATGTGGAATGGAGGACGGAGGGCCCTGAACAGATGTTGAATGGAGAGGATGGGGGCCCTGGACAGATGTAGAATGGAAGACAGTGGACCCTGGACAGATGTTGAATGGAGGACAGTGGACCCTGGACAGATGTTGAATGGAGGATGGAGGGCCCTGGACAGATGTTGAATGGAGGACGGTGGGCCCTGGACAGATGTTGAATGGAGGATGGAGGGCCCTGGACAGATGTTGAATGGAGGATAACAGGTCCAGGACAGATGTTGAATGGAGGATAACAGGTCCAGGACAGATGTTGAATGGAGGATAACAGGTCCAGGACAGGTGTTGAATGGAGGACGGAGGGCCCTGGACAGATGTTGAATGGAGGATAACAGGTCCAGAACAGATGTTGAATGGAGGATAACAGGTCCAGGACAGATGTTGAATGGAGGATGGTGGGCCCTGGACAGATGTTGAATGGAGGACGGTGGGCCCTGGACAGATGTTGAATGGAGGACTGTGGGCCCTGGACAGATGTTGAATGGAGGATGGAGGGCCCTGGACAGATGTTGAATGGAGGATAACAGGTCCAGGACAGATGTTGAATGGAGGATGGTGGGCCCTGGACAGATGTTGAATGGAGGACGGTGGGCCCTGGACAGATGTTGAATGGAGGATAGAGGACCCTGGGCAGATGTTGAATGGAGAGGAGGGGCTGGGAGGGCAGGGAGACCAGAGGTGCGAATGGGGGTGAGAAGCTGCAGGCCTGGAGCTGCTTTGGGGCCGAGGCTGGAGCCTGCGGAGTCACCTGGGACACATGCAGCCGCTTCTGGGGTCTCAACAGCAAACCCATCTGTCTCCCCGCAGAGAACTCGATTTCTACTTCCCCAAGTTCTCCATTTCCAGCAGCGCCAGACTGGAGCTGCTGCTCCCAGGGGCGGCTGTGGGCGGAGGCCTCCCCGAGCCCGGACTGAACATCTCGAAGGTAACCTGGGATCCGGGTCAGTGGGGGTCTCCGTGCCTGCGGGCCGCTGCGGGAGGAAGGCGCCCGCACCTCCTCACACGCAGAGCAGCTGTTTTCCACAGCTCGGCACACCGCCATCTGTGCTCCGCGTGTGTCCCCCATTCGTGCACACCCGCCCCCACAGGCACTGGGGCCGGGGGTCAGGCCCCACCCCTGCCCTCGGGTGACAGCCCAGACAGGGAAGGCCGGGTGGGTCCACGCCATCAGGGCTGGACTGCGGAGGGAGCTCTGGGCTCCTTCCTGATCGTGGGCCCGTGGGACCGAGAGCCCGGCTGGCGTGGCTCAGTGATTGAGCGTCGACCTATGAGCCAGGAGGGCCTGGTTCCATTCCTGGTCAGGGCACAGGTTGCGGGCTCATCCCCAGTGTGGGGTGTGCAGGAGGCAGCCAACCAGTGATTCTCTCTCATCATTGATGGTTCTATCTCTCTCCATCTCCCTCCCTCTCTGATATCAATAAAAACATATTTAAAAAAATAAAAATAAAGGTCTGGTTGATCCCTCCTTATGGGGTCAGTTGGCGATTCCAGAATTTTCCTTGCAGGTTGCACACAAGGCTGCGATGACTCTGGATGAGGGGGGCACAGAGGTGGCTGCCGCCACCAGCATCCAGCTCACGCCGGGGCCCCGCCCCGACCGCGACCTCCACGCCTCGCCCGCTCCAGACACGGAGTTCAACCGGCCCTTCCTGGTGATGACCTTCCACACGGACACGGGGAGCATGCTTCTCCTGGGGCGGGTTGTGAACCCGCTGGGGTGCTGCGCCGGGTGACCCCGAGAGCGGGCCGAGTCAGCATCCGTGTGAAAGGCCACGGCCAGCGTGGCTGCCGGGTTCAAAGGCTCGGAGAAAGAGCTGCCGCACAAATTAACACACAAGACAAGAAATAATGATTTTGAAATTAGGGGGGGAAGCCAGGGAAAACTCAGCTGTATAGTCAAGTTCCTCTAAGTCTCTGTTCGGTCTGCTTTTATTTACTAGCACACACAACTGTCTTTTAGGAATGCAAACAGACATATCCATGGTGATCGTTTAGTGAACAGTAAGATTGTCAGGTTGGGGGAGTTTGCTTTAGGCCATTGAATCGGCAGAAGGTAATAAAATGCAAATACTCACCCTGTGAATATCAAAAGAGTCCAGGTCAGCTTTCTGATGGACTGATGGACGTCTCCCCGCATTTATATTAATTACTGTTGATCTTGGTTTCCAGCACATCAGGTCTTGTCATGACATGGGGCGAGGGGGGAGGGGGGAGGGGCGGCGAAGGGGGCGCGGCGGGGGCGGGGGGGCGGAAGGGGGGGGCGGCGGTCCCTTCTTCGTCTGGAAGGGCAATGGGACTGTCTCAACTCGGCAGGGTGGCGGCGGCAGGTCCCCCGGGACAGGCTTTGTGCAGCCGCGAAATCGCCCCCGGCCCACACGCCAGGAGGTCCTGTTGCAGAACCCTGGTTCTGAGACGACGACACCGGGTTCTGTGTGTGGGTTTCGTGGGGCCCATGGGGTGAGGGGAGGGCGGGGAGCAGGCTGTGCCCCGAGTGAGCACCTGCTCTGTGCCAGGGGCACCGTGTATTTGAACTCATTTTAAAATTAATTCCCACATCAACCTAACAAGACAAGTGTTCAGTGTGATTCTGTTTGGCCTTCGGATGGTCTCACCGACGGAATACTGCGTCTCCCTTCGTGCGGCTGAGGCTCGGGACTTAGGACACAGGCCCAAGGTCACTCGGCTGGCAGGTAGCGCGGCTGGGATTCAGGTTGTTTAATTTCGAAGCCCGGACTCCTTCCATTTCCATCCATGTGGCTACATCGCTGATTCTCCAGCGTGCTGCGTGCACGAATCCCCTGGCAGCCTGTGAGAAACAGCCCCGCCGATTTGGACTCAGCGGGTCCGGGCTGGGCCTGCGGTCCGGCCCTCCTCCCGTGGCCCCGGATGCGGACCTGGCCAGTGACCACCTGGAGCAGGTGCAGCTGCCCTGCCCGTGACCCAGGGAGGGCGAGGCCGGTGTGGGCAGCAGGCGGGCGTGGCCCTGGCCCCAGTGCTCCTCGGGGCTGAGCAGGCTTGGCAATACCGCTCGAAGCCTGGTGACGAAGCTGGCTTTAGGGCCGCCTACTCATGAGCATTTGGGGGGAAATAAGTGTCCTGAACACAGGCGCTTGGGCCCATTCTCGGCTCTGCTCCATGTCAGTCATGGCGACCGGGACCTAGGCTGTCGCCTGGCTCCTGGCCCTGCGTCTCCAGCTGCACGGGAGGGAGTCACACAGGCTTTGGGGTCAGACCTGCCTGGGACCAAATCCCACCCGGATTCCCTCTCGATGCCCACGGGGAGCAGCAGGCAGACACGGGAGCCTGGCCGAGGCCGGCCCAGGGGCTGCCCCGCGTGATCTCATTTAACCTTCACTTCACATTTGCTGCCAGAGAGAAAACGTACTGATCTCTCCTCACGCGAGAAGGTGCCCAACAGAGCACCAGGGCGGCAGTAAGGTCGGCCTCTCCAGAAGGGGAGCCCCAGAGTCACAGAGAGTGACCCCTAAAAAGAGAGGTGGGCAGCCCCAAAGTCCTGGAAAATGGGTGTCTTAACGTTATCTTTTGAGGATTGACAGTGGGAGTCCACAACTCAAATGCCTAAGGGGCCAGCTGGGCAGTAGGCGGAGATTAGGGGGCGATAATAGCACAGGTTCAGTAGCTGTACGTAGAGCTCGGGAAGTGTGTCTCAGCGCTGCGGCTGATGCAACGGTGTGAGCACACTCCACCATGACATGCCTCCTCGGCACACCAGGAAGTAGCAACGCCCGCCTGAACTAACTCCTAGAGCCACGTGCACAGTACCCCAGCCTTTCAGCCATTGGTCGCCTGTAGCAACGTGTCTCCCTCTGATTGGTCCCCTCATGCTATATATACCCCTGTAGTTCCACAATAAAACGGATCTGCGTCACTGAGCCTGGTCTCCGGAGTCGTGCATGCAGACGCCCTAGCGCGTTGGGGCTCCGTCGTCCTCACCCCCGAGGGACCCCCTGCTTCAAGTAGCAGGTACCCACTGGCCGTGGAGTTGGGGAGACAAAGGGAGGGGTGGGGACTGTGGTGAACTGGAGAGGGGGCTCCATCTATGGGGCGCCTGGTGGTGGCCTTCCTGTGGCAGTGGCTTAGATGACAAAGACATGCAAACTGTGACCTCCGTGAGTGTGAGTGGGCACGTGGCTCGGCTCACCCAGGCATCGGGGAGCCAGGCTCTCCTGCACGGTGGGACTGCCACCTGAGGGCATGTCTTCTTCTGGATGTTTGAAGACCACGGGCCAGTGTCTCCACCTTCCAGACAACAGGAAGGGGCATGGGGAAAGGGAGAGCAAACACTTTAGAGGTACAACCCGCGGATCACACGCATCTCTTCAGCTCATCTCCTATAGGCCAGAATCTAGTCACATGGTGCACCTAGCTGCAAGAGAGGCAGAGCAATGTCGTTTCTGTCTTGGGTGACCATGTGCCCAGGCCCAAATCGGGGGTTCTCCTAGTTTAGAAGAAGGGATGGTTAACTATTGGGGACCCCACCCCCACAGCTTGAGCTTCTGCCAGCCTCAGGTGGATGTTACCTTGCAGAAAAATGTCTAAAGGTTGCTGGCTTTGTGCGTTTTGAGAGAAACTAACGTGTCATGTTTTTATGTAAAAAGTGTTTGCATCTTTTAATGTTGACAACACGTGCAGATTTAAAAAGTACAACCAAGCAGCCAACAACATTGGATAAACGGAGCATGCAGAGGGCTCGGGGGGCAGCTGGGCAGAGTGGAGGGCGGGCTGCAGGGTCCCTGGGACGGGCCCCAAGGCAAGGGGCTGGGCGCCTTGGTTCAACCCAGGAGCCCTGGGGTGTGACTGGCATTGAAATCCCAGGCACACGTGAGACTGTCCCGGAGAGAGAAGGTGGCAGCTACGAAGCAGCTTACCGCACGGGGGGGGGGGACCACCGCTTCCGAAATGTTTGACCACAATTTACTGAAACCGCAAGACTCATCCTTTAGGCCATTTCTGCCAACGGATGTGAATGACGATGACAATGCCAGTGACTTTGCTGCGATGAAGACAAGAACCATAAACGTTATGGCGAACATACATGGACTTGGACTTACCCTCGTCTTTATCTTCCCTCTCACGCCAGCGTGGTTGGCCCGGACTCCGCACTGACATGACACTCGCCGCCTTTGGCATTCTGCTGGTTTTCAGGAGCAGGAAACGGCAGCTGTGACAGGACCTTCGGTCTAGAGTTTTGAATTGTTTTCTAGGATGAACTCTATCCGGCAGCTGGTTTTATAGCTTAACTGACAGCGTGTCCGTCTCTGGACGCAGATGGAAAGCGGTCTCCTCTGATGCTTTGCTCCTGGTGGGCCCAGCGAGGAGGCAATGGCACCGCCCATCTGTCCTTCTGGGGACCCCATTTCCGGCCGTTCCCACCCTTCCCTGAGTGGCCCTTCTCAGGGCCCAGGCACCCCCGGCCTCTGGAGGGAGTGGCGTGCTGGTGTCCTGCTCAGTGCCCCCCTTTTTGGGTGTAAGGGGCTCCTACTGCTTGTCCCTCTGAGCTGCCACCACCTGCCTCCACCCACAGAGGACCCTCAGGCGTCCACATTCCCAACGCCGTGGGGGCCCTCTGGCCGCCTGGTCTGGCGACGTGGCTCTCGATCCTGAGACCCAAAGTCCTGCGACAATGAAGCTCGAAGACGTGTCAGCCCCTGGCGAGCAGGCGGGCAGCGGCGCGGGTCCCGCTGGGTCCGATGGTCCTGCCCACACCGGCCCACAGCCCCTCCCTGGCGGAGCTCACGGTGCCGCGGGCTCAGCGGGGGGATGCGGCGATCACAGCTGTCACAGCTGTGAATGGGGACTAAGACAGATTTAGCCGGAGGAGGAAGGGGAAGGCGGGTGGCCCTGCGGGAAGACCCCGGGGGCCAGGGTCCTCAGTGGCAGCTCAGGGCAGCCTCCAGCTGTGCGACCCCCAACAGATGTGGCTGTAAAGTGGGGCCTATGACGACGCTGAACCCCGCGAGGGGCTGTTTCCGAAGCTGACATCTCCGTTCAGTCCTCTCTGCTGCCCTGCGAGCGAGGGGCTCCCAGGATGTGACAGGGACGGAGGCTCAGGAACGTCCCCCCTGAGTCCCCGAATGGAAGCCATGTCTGCCCCGAAGCCTCAGTGTGTCCCCCACATCCACGGAGCCCTGCGCCCACCCTCCTGGCTTTAGTGTCTGTCTCTCCGACAGCAGAAGGAACCGCACCTAAGCCGTCTTTCAGGGCCCGAGGCAGCGCCCTGGCCAGGCTAGCGGTCGGGTGCTGGGTGCCCGGGCCGGGCTGGGCGGTCGGGGTGCTGGCTGCCCGGGCCGGGCTGGGCGGTCGGGGTGCTGGGTGCCCGGGCCGGGCTGGGCAGTCGGGGTGCTGGCTTCCCCGGGCTGGGCTGGCGGTTGGGGTGCTGGGTGCCCGGGCTGGGCGGTCAGGGTGCTGGCTGGCTGGGGCCCTGGCATTCCTGGGCTGCTGTCCCCACAGGAGAGCAGAGGACAGAGAGATGGAGGTCGAGGAGAGAGGTGTTAGCACAGGCCCAGCCTCTCTCTCTCTCTGTCTCTCTCTCTCTCTCTCTCTCTCTCTCTCTCTCTCTCTCTCTCTCTCTCGCACACACACACGCAGCAGGCCGGGGCAGGAGGGAGAGCAGAGCCCGGGGAAGGCCGCAGAGCAGGGCGGCCGGGAGGCAGGAGAGAACATTCCACAGGCCCAGGCAGAGGAGAAATTGCTTCCAGAGGCGCCTTGGCCCGGCCCGGCCCGGCCGTCACTCAGCGGGCTAGAGGTCCCCTGGCCGCTGCCGGGACCAGGGGGGGGGGGGGGGGGGGGGACGGGCCTCTGGAGAAAATCTCCCCAAACCAGGCTTGGCGTCCGCTCTGACTGCCCTGCGCCGGGGGAGGGGTGGCGGGAAAAGTGGTCCAAGATGGTGGGTCCACACGCACCCCAGATGCCCATCTGCTCGTGGCGAGGCCGCGGGGGACCCGAGAGCCCGAGGGTGAGCCCTTGCAGCCAGGCGTCCCTGAGCAGGGCCTGCCTGCCGGACCTGGGGCTGCAAACCCAACACACGAAGGCCCCGCGAAGCTGGGAGGAAACGCCGCGAAGGCCGGGACCCCGCCGAATCCCTCCCTGCCCCCCTTTCCTGTAGTAAATCATTCAGGGGCGCCTCCCCTTTAACTCACGTTTTGTTGTTGTTGCTGTTCCTCCTCACCAGAG